ACGAGATTCGGAGAAAATACTGACACTGAAAGCATCCCCAAAGGTGGAGACAGAGTGCGTAGAAGTAACAAACGGTAAGGAAGGCACTCGCCCAACAGGTATCCAGTTTTCAAGGGAAGAGAATGAGAAGTTCAAATTCAGGGAGAAAAGGATGAAAAAGCACAGAAAAGGCCACTAGATGGCGCCAACGTCAAAGAAAAGAAAGTGACAGCTTTGAGGCCACAGGGTTCCAGGCAGAGCTCCCTGGGGCTTCCCAGCTCTTCGCCCAACCCTGATCACAGCCATCCTGCTTGGGGGGCGGGGGTCACTCCACCTAACGGAACCATGGTGTGATCAGAGCTGGGCCCAAGGCTGCTCTTGGCAGCCTCATGGCTCAGACCAGGGACACCATCCCTCAGTGAGGCCAAAAAAAAAAAAAGAATAAAAAGAAAACAAGGAAAAAAATGAGAAATAAGATCAGGAGAAAGAAAGGTTTGGTTCCTGCGGAGACTTAATTTTAAAGGTTCTGGATTATAGGTCTACTCACCAGGAGGGAGAGCCACAAGACAAATCAAGTCTTGGCAGCTACTCGTCCATCCGTTGGGGTTTCACAGACCTCTCCAACTCGGGACACTTAATGTCTCTCCCTGGCTGGCCCACCATGATGTTACCTGGGGTCCTTGCCTTCTGCCGATAAAGAACTGATCAGGAGAGGCAGAGTGTCCACACCAAGCCAACATTTATTAGAGAGGTTTATTAAAGAGAAAAAGAGAGCTTACTAGGAAGAGATGTAGCCTCCAGTCTCTCTCGGAACAAAGGATCTCCTAGGGCTTGTAAGGAAGGTTGGGCAATCCTACTTCCGTAGTGATACTGCCTCGGAAACCCAAGGAGGGGTCGCTATGAGTCAGGGCTGACTCGACGGCACATAACAACAACAACAACAGGGCTTGTAAAGGTTTTCAGGCGGGACAAAATGTATCATTTCCATTCATAAAATGGGTGATGTTATGAAAATCAGGCGCACCCTCATGGAGGAAGTAGGGGGCTGTCGAACAAAGATGGAATCCATTGCAAAGGCTGCTGGGATGCCTGAAATGACTTATTCTGGGATGTTGCACATGCATGACGTCTCTGGACCCTGGTTCGAGTCCAGGCAAGGGGCTCCTGCTCCTGACTTGCTCAGGTGGAAGGCCATTCATCGGTGACACTGACCTTTACTGTGCCTGCTCTGTACCTGGTGGGCATCCAGTGAGGAACCTGAACAACTGATCTGGGTGTTTGAAGTGCAGCTTACTTTGCCTAAGCTTCTAGTCTTTGGTGCCAGCAGCAAGAGTTACGAGGTGGTCTACACGCAGGCTTGATTCCAATACAATGTCAGTTGCAGGCGCTTGATCTGACCAGCCCAGTTCCCGCCTGTCTCACCTGGACTTCCTCACCCCCACAAGGTCCAAATCCTAGGCACGGTCTGCAGTTTCCAAGGCACCTCCCTCCTAGCAGGTCTACTCTCAGTCCTTCCCTTTTTATTTTTTGGGGCAAAGTGAATGGTAAAGAGGTCCCTGTGTGCTTGTGGGGGGCTGAGGGGAGCTGGTACTAAAGAGCATGTCAGTAGGAATGGAAGCAGGTGCTTGACCTGAGTTCCAAACGACACCAACAATTCCAGCAGAACAGTCGCTACTCAGACATGCTATCTGTCCCCCTCAGCCCGAGAACCACTGTTCCTGCCACGGGAATGTCTGTGCCCTCCGTGGGTGCCCCAACTCAAGTGTTGCCTTCTCTGGACACCGCAACTCGGTCCTTCTCTCCCTACCTCCCTGCTCTGTTGTCAGTCTCCAGGCACTCAGCACAAGTCCTCCTTGTTTGTGCGCACTGTGGCCTGCTCTACCCCTTCCTAGCTTGGCCCTGGGCAAGAGAGAGGACATCCCTGAGCCTGTTTCCTCAAGTATGACAGAGATGGGGACCGTGCCCACTGCTGCGACCAGTTAGGAAACAACTAGAGTTAATACATGTGAGTGGAACACTTGGAAGGGCATGTTCGCCACAAGCCCCAACCTCCTTGCAGACAGGCAACTGTCAGTGTGTCAGCGTACCCATACCACTGCTGCTTTGGTACCCCAGGGCACAGGTGGGACCAACAAGTAACCCTAGAGCAATTACTGCACTCAGTACCTCCTTGCTGAATGAATGAATGGAATCTTCAAAACAACTAAGGGCAGAAGCTGGGGTCCATTCTTTGCCCTATGTCAGCTCAGCACATCTGTAAAGACAACTGAATGTTTGCCAACTTGGAAGGCAGGAAAGGGGGGTGTCAGAAAAGAACTAGTTGGCTAGTTGGGCTGACAGAGCAGATGGCTGGGGAGAGAATACCCATGCATGGTACCCCAGGGAGAAAGGGCCACTCACTCACTGCTCATTCTTTCATTCATCATGGCCATGCAGACCCTCAGGCCAGCCTGCCTGCCTGCTCTCCCAGCCAACTCTGCCCGCTGCTCCCTCCCCTATAAATTGGGAATAATGATAGTACTTACTCCTTGGGTTGTGAGGATTACACTGGCCTAAGCAGGATGGAGGTTAATACAGGTCACAAAAAGGGTATGGTGCTAGCCTCCTCTGACTTCACAAAGGGGAGAGACAATCACCATCAACAGCCCAAGGCTGGTTCCTATGAGACTGAAGTCAGCCGGGCGCCACATCCAACCATTTTACCAATTCTGACACCAACTATCCCGCCCTCAGCACACTCTACTTCTCAGCTGGGTTTGATAATTCGTTGCAGTGGCCACACAGAACTCACACACAATACTCATGACTATGGGGTTTATCAGGGAACTAACAGGTTCAAGTTCAAGTTCAGGGTCAAGAATGCTCTCAATACAATTCTTCCATCAGGACAGCTTCTTCTCAGACGTGCCACAGGCACACTTCTCTCTGGCCTCAGCCTCCACTCTCCTCAGGCCAGTGTAACAAAACTCAGTTGTCATGCATGCCCAGGGAGGCACCCCACTCCGCCAGCTAGCCTCCTGCCTGAAGGCACTCAGCTTTCTCACTCCATGGGCCAAGGAAGCCCACCACACTCTGTCTTGTGCAGGTCTCTCTCAGTCATTCCAGCACAGGGATCTTGGGTCCAAGGACATGCTCTACTACTGATTCTTTCTTAATGACAGTGAGATCCCCCTTTACTGCCTCTCAAACGCCAAACTCACTACCATCAAGCTGATTCCGACTCATAGTGACCCCCTTTGGGTTTCTGAGGCGGTAAATCTTTATGGAAGTAGATTGCCCAGTCTTCCTTCCACAGAGTGGCTAGTGGGTTTGAACCACCAGCCTTCTGGTTAGCAGCCAAAGGCCTTAGGCACTGTGCTACCAGAGCTCCTTTCTGTCTCCAGGAGGGCTCATTTTCAAGCCTAGTGGAATGGCAAAACTGACCAATACCCATGCTACAGTTCCATACACCTTATTTCCAAGGTCCCAGCCCCACAGGGGTGCCATGTACCTTACTTACATTATTAGCAAGCTATCCCCTCTGTGGGCCACAAGCAGCTCACATTTACATAGTTCCACCCAGGCATCTGGTGGGAGCCACAAAGGCTGTGGCTAGAAGAACCATATCAAGTAATTCCCTGCACTTCACAGGAAAGCACCTACAACACCTGCACACGGTGTCTATGGAATGACTAATAAAAACAACTACAAAAACCAGTTGAGCCCCTGCCCAGGGTAGGGGGGTACAGGCTCAATGGCCAAAGAAACAGACCAGACCCTGCTGCCAAGGAGTGGTCTAGCAGATGAGCCAGATGCTAGCAAGTGCAGAGCAACTGCAGCCGCAAGAGAAAAGCCCAGTACAGTTCATTCATTGGTTGTTTGCCAATACCAAGTAGTATAGTGATACTACCTGTGTGATATAGTTCTAATAGAAACATTTGACAAAACATCAAATAGAAATGTAAGTTTACTAGTGACTGGTACACCACCCGATCTGCATCCTATACAACTCTGAGACCAGAAGAACTAGATGGTGCCCGGCTACCACTGTCATCCACTTGGAAGGGATGTAGGAGATCCTGGATAGAGAGGGAGAACAATGTGGAACAAAACTCAAAATCATTTGGAGGGGAAAAAAGAAGGTGGGGACCAGGTTTGCTAGTCCAATAGAGCCTGGTGGAACCACTGAGACTATGGCCCCTAGCTAACCTTCAGGTCTGGAATTGAACCCACACCTGTGGTTTCCAGCCAAAAAAAGTACAGGCATGTGAGTTAAACATTTACCTCAAGTAGACACATGCCCTAGAGAGAACAATCATGGGAGAAGGAAGGGCTGCTTATGCACAGGGGAGACAGCTCAGGGGGCAGGAGAGTATGGAGACATGGACACTGGGAAGTGGTACTATAGGGAGGAAGTTGGAGGGGAGCTGTTGCATTGTGGTAAACTGTGGTCAATGACATGAGACAAAGTATATGTGAACTGCTGTATGGAAAGTGAATTTGCTCTGAAAATCTTCACCCAAATCACAATCAATCAATCAATCAATCAATAAGAAATGTAAGTTTATAAAGCAGTAAAACTACTTTTCCTTTTCTAATATAAACCATTAACTACTGCTGGCCCCAAGGCTGTCTCAGACCTCCCCTGGGAGGGCTGGGGACCTGGAAGGGGAAGCAGCAGGGCAGACTTGGTCCTCACACAGTTGACATTCGGTGCAGTCTACGCAGAAAGGGTCCGACCTGGCTGGAGGTCATCTGGGATGGTCTGCTGAGGCATAGGTGGAGGAAGTGGGAGCTTATACCCAGGGGAGGCAGAGGCAGGGCAGACCAGAAAAGTGCCCACAAGGTGGGTAGGGGGGCAGTGGTGAGAAGCAAGGCCAACAGGGTCCATCTGTGACAGCTGAGTGGGTGAAAGGCACACAGGTTTCAGGCTAGGCAGGAAGGTGTCTGGTCAACCTCTGAGCCTGTGAAGGCTGTGGACTGTGAAGCTGAGGCCTACACAGGAGAGGGACCGGCTCACAGCTGTGCCATTCCCTCCACAGCAAGCAGCCCAAAGAAATCCCCTGGAAGACCGTTGGGAACCCGTTTGTGGTGGAGTCCACAGGCGTGTACCTCTCCACAGAGGCGGCTTCGGTAAGTGAGAGGTGCCGGGGCTGATGTGGGGTAGGGCGCTGCGGCACTGAAGCACCATATAACCCCTGTGCCTCCTTCCTAGGACCACATCACAGCAGGTGCCCAACGGGTGGTCATCTGCGCACCCTCACCAGATGCGCCCATGTTTGTCATGGGTGTGAACGAAAAGGACTATAACCCTGGCACCATGAAAATCGTCAGGTAACAGTGGGGGTGGGTAGATAAGAAGGGACATGGAGCAGCATTCAGAAGTATACAGGTGGTGGCCAGAGGACACGCTAGTCCGTGATGAGGAGGGATGAGCCTCTCCCCCAAAACTCCCCACCTCCACTCCCATGAGACCCCTGCTGCTTCCTGATCCATAGATCCACAGATCTGCTCCTCTTCCCTGAAGTCGAAACGGCAATCATGTAAATGCTACCCTAAAAACATCTGTTGGAAATGTAAGACTTTTAGAGACCATACTTGAGGGAGCTTCCCCCAGCCACACTTCTGGTAGCACCTTCATTCGGATGGCACCCCCTCAATGACCCATGTCGTCCCCCAACCTGATTTTTCACAAAACCAGGTGGACGTTCCCCAAAAGAGGGGTAGGGGTAGAGGGGTGGTTCTGCATCTCGTCTCACAGAGCCCTTACACCTGGGCCATTTCAGCAACGCATCCTGCACCACCAACTGCCTGGCCCCCCTGGCCAAGGTTATCCATGAGCAATTTGGGATCGTGGAAGGACTGATGGTGAGTCAAGCACAAGGGGCTGGGGCAGGAGGGATGGCGGGGAAAACCAGCCTCTTCTTCCCCAGGACTTACTTGGCACGTACAGTTAACACACTAAGTTTGAAGAGAAAAGCCCCATGGGTGGTAAAGTCTTTTAAAACACTATGCAACTCTCAGGCAAGGCTGAACCCTGGCATACACGTGTCCTGCCCCACTAGTCTCCCTATCCGAGCCACTGTCCCAGGCCTGAAAGACAGAGGCATGGGAGCTCAGGAACAGAAAGAAGGCCTCACCTCAGCCCTCTTCTTCTCCAAGACCACAGTCCATTCCTACACGGCCACCCAGAAGACTGTGGATGGGCCATCAAAGAAGGCCTGGCGAGATGGACGGGGTGCCCACCAGAACATCATCCCAGCCTCCACCGGGGCTGCCAAGGCTGTAGGCAAAGTCATCCCCGAACTCAAAGGGTATGAAGGCAGGATGCTGCAGGCAGGGGGGAGGGCACACCCCAGGGGGACTGGACTGGCCCTGAAAGCCTTCACTTTCTTTCAAGCGAAAGGAAAGCAAGGGCATGGCCAAGACCGAGGGCAAGGGGGGATGGAGGGAGAAGTCCCTGGGTTCTGACTCCCATCCCTGGACGTGTCACCAGGAAGCTGACAGGAATGGCATTCCGGGTGCCAACACCAGACGTGTCTGTCGTGGACCTGACCTGCCGCCTGGCCCGGCCTGCCACGTACTCAGACATCAAGGAGGCCATAAAAGTGGCAGCCAAAGGGCCCATGCATGGCATCCTGGCCTATACCGAGGATGAGGTAGGGGCTGAGGAGGAGGGACCCTGGGAGGATGTGTCTGTGGGAGGGGCACAATTCACACTTGCCAGGGAGCTGCCAGGATAGGACACAGCTCTCTGCCTCAGGGCCTTTGGCTTTGATGTTCCTTGGGTCTAGAAAGCTTTTCCCCCTGGAGGCCCCACAGTCTGCCCTCATTTCTTTCAAATGCTACAACCTACCTCCTCAGCAAGACCTCCTCCCCACCCCACCCCAGAGATGCTATTTTTGTGGTTCTTTTCATATCTGACATTTCATTTCAGTCACTGTTGGCCCCATTCCACAAAAGCAAAGATTTAGGGGGCTATCCTTTCACCTCCCTAGCCCAGGCCTGGCACACAGCTGACACGCAGTATACGCTTAATGAATCAAAGACAATCGCTCCCATTTTTTCAGCAATTCTTCATGGCCAAGCCAAGTGCCTTCCCTGTGAGACGCAGATGTCACTGCCACTGCGCTCCCAGAGCTGCCGCCTCTGCCTGTCCACCTTGGTGCTATCTCCCTGCTTCAGCTCCTCCCAGTCCATTCTCACAAAGCAGCCAGGACCTCTTATTTCAATGGGATCAGAAAACCCTCCTGCTGAAAACCCTCCCACCACCCAAAAAAATGCCAACTGCCCAGCAAGTCAACCAACTCATGGCAACTGCATGTGATTCAGGGTAGAACTGCACACCACTGGGTATTCACAGCTGTAACTTTCCATAGATCGCCAGGTCTTTTTTCTGAGGCACCTCTGTGTGGATGCACACCCCCAGCCTTTCCTTTAATAGCCCTAAGCGCTTAACCGTTTGCATCATCTACTGACTCCTGGCTTCTGACCACACTGGGGTGAAAATCCGAAAGCCTCTGTGCTTGCTGGTCCTTCCACCCCAGATAGTGTGTCCAGTGCCACATTAGCTAGCTCCTCCCACTTGTCCAGGTGCAGGTTCCTGGACACTCCTGGGAGAGGGCCTCTGCGCTGTCAGGTTCATACTGTCTCCCCTGTTCCCCGGAAGTGGTGGTTATTAGTACAGCACTGGGGTGTTTGTGGTGAGTATCCTTTGGTCAGTCCTCTGCAGGCAGAACCACTGGCCTTGATCATGCCTGTGCTGGACACTTTACAGTCCTCATTTCATGACATCTACACACCACCCCCACCCAGCAAATAACACAGGGTCAGAGAAGTCAAGCCACTTGCCCAAGGCCAAAGGACACATGCCTTTAAGTGGCAGAGATAAGAATAGGAGCCAGGCGCAAAAGTCCCAAGCCTGAGCTCCTGGTGGTCCTGGCTCTGCTACCCTCACTTATTTTTTAAATTTTGACGCCCAGGTGGTCTCCTCCGACTTCATCACCGACCCCCATTCCTCCATCTTTGATGCCAAGGCCGGCATAGCTCTCAACGACAACTTCGTGAAGCTCATTTCCTGGTAAGGGCTCCCGAAAGGAGTAAGAGAATTAGGAGGAAAAGCAGGGAAGTCGAGAAGGTAAGTCCCTGACCTCCGCTTCCTCCTTCCCAGGTATGACAACGAATATGGCTACAGTCACCGAGTGGTCGACCTTCTTCGCTATATGTTCGAGCAAGATAAGTGAAGAGGCAAGACCGCCCCCAACCCACCCCGCCTCGCCTCGCTTTCCGGTGATCTCACGGGCTAGAACCCGTTAGCCCCCATTCGCACCCTCGGCTCACTAGAGGAAGAAGGGCACCATACGTAAGGACTCCGCACCGCTTTGCTAGCTGATGAAATAAAAACAAAACAAAAAAACAACCACCACCAAGAATCTTCACAACTGTGTCCTTTGTTTCTGCGCCTGGTCACTCGGGTTCAGACCTGTGTTCAAGCCCAACCCCACTCAACTCGATCGACCTGCAGTCCTGGATAAGGGGTCGTAGCCTCAACTCCGAGAGAGGTTCCACTTCGGGGAAACGAGAAGAGCCACAGCAGTAGTTAAGACCGGGCAGCAAGCCCCGGAGCCGGTCCCCAAACGGCATCGGTGTTCCCGGAAGGAACGCTCCAGGACCTGTCGCGCCTGGCCAGACTCTGACGTCACTGCGCGCCGAAGCTCGGGGCCGGGACTACGGTTCCCAGAAGGCCGCGCGCGGGCCGCGGCGGAGGCAGGTGGGATCCTGGCCCTGGGTGGCGTGAGAGCGGTGACGGCGGGGACCCGCGCTCAGAGACGCGGCCTCGCGACCCCCGTGCCGGCGGGACCGGGCGGCCGGCATCATGACCCTGTTCCACTTCGGGAACTGTTTCGCCCTCGCCTACTTCCCCTACTTCATCACGTACAAGTGCAGCGGCCTGTGAGTGCGGGGCGGCGAGGGCGCGGGGCGGAGAGGGTACGGGGCGGAGAGGACGCCTTACCGCCTGCTCCTCCAGGTCAGAGTACAACGCCTTCTGGAAATGCGTCCAGGCCGGGGTCACCTACCTCTTTGTTCAGCTTTGCAAGGTGAGGGCTGCCTTCACCCAGGGTCCTAGACCCAGGGATCCGCCTCCGCCTTACATCCCCCAGGACGGGACCACCCTCAGGACTCTGCCTTGCGAGGGCTTTAGAACACCTATAGAGGAAGGAGTTTGGAAGACGTGAACTCAAGGAGGGTCTTGAAGTACTTTTCCATAGCACTGTTCGTAAAATTGAGAAAAGCTCAGCTGCATGGTTAAGAGTTTTGTACGGTTAAGAGGCCTAAATAACTCCCAAGACTCCACACGGTGCCTCCACCATGGCCCAGGTAGCCAGCACTGGTCACTCCAGACCTGACCCAGCTTCCCTGTGGCCACCACAGAGCTCACACTTTCAGCCTCCTCAGAGACCAGAGCTCCTGCCTACTGTCTCCCAAAGCTCTGGAAGTGTCTTGCTATCTAATGGCCCCATTTCAGCTGTTCCCATAGCCCCAGGGTCTTGCCCCTCCTACACACACTAACCACTCACAAAACCCAGACAGGTGGCTTCTTCTTCTCACCTTGAGGTGACCTCTCTGTTTTCTGTTCTCAGATGTTGTTCCTGGCCACTTTCTTTCCCACTTGGGAAGGAGGCATCTATGACTTCATAGGGGTGAGAAGGGCAAGGGAGAACGAGGGAATAGGAATGGGGTCCTTTACCCCATGCTTGCTCAAGCCTCAACCCAATCCCTGGACCCACAGGAGTTCATGAAGGCCAGCGTGGACGTGGCAGACCTCATAGGCCTGAACCTTGTCATGTCCCGGAACGCTGGCAAGGGAGAATACAAGATCATGGTTGCTGCCCTGGGCTGGGCCACCGCTGAACTCATTATGTCCCGGTGCGTGCAGCAGCCTGGATCCCAGACTCCTGAGAAAGGACACCTGGGTCCAAGGAAGGTGCAGGAGGGCAGGGGAGCACATTGTGGGTATTGAGAGTGTGTGGGTACCAGAGGAGCCTTCCTTCTGCCTTCCTCAGCTGCATCCCCCTCTGGGTCGGAGCCCGAGGCATTGAATTTGACTGGAAATACATCCAGATGAGCATTGATTCCAACATCAGTCTGGTACGCAGTCCTGGGCTCCCCTCAGTGTCTACACCTTTATGTTGGTGGCCATATTAAAGCCCAGCCCTGACTTCTGCCTCCCTGCAGGTCCATTACATCATCGCATCTGCCCAGGTCTGGATGATAACGCGATACGACCTGTACCACACCTTCCGCCCAGCAGTTCTCCTGCTGATGTTCCTTAGTGTCTACAAGGCCTTTGTCATGGAGTGAGCTGGTTGGGGCTAGAGGCTGGGTTCAGTGGGGTGGGTTATCTAGTCTCCTCCTCTCATTGTGATGTTTCTCCACAGGACCTTTGTCCACCTCTGTTCCCTGGGCAGCTGGACAGCGTTGCTGGCCCGAGCGGTGGTGACAGGGCTGCTGGCCCTCAGCACCCTGGCCCTGTATGTCGCTGTTGTCAACGTGCACTCCTAGGCTTGGTGTTCAGGCGTTCACATACCTCCCTGTCCCTTCCCAGGTTTCAGTGAAGTAAACAGTGTTTGGAAAATTGTTTCTGCCTACATTTCTCTTTGGAATCATCTCCAAATGCCAGGTTCATCCTTGGTGCCGGAGGAGCTGGGTAGGTGAGCTGGGAACCTGGCCAATCCACTGATTTGCCCTTCGTTCCTAGACCAGTTCCTCAGGCTCCTTATTTCCCAGGGTAGACTGAGGGATTGGATGAAACAAATGATCTCTGAGCAGCAGCAGAGGCAAGTCAAAGCTCTTGGGGGCCTCACCTTGTCACACCCTCACGTCAGTCCAGCCTGGCTCTCCCCCTGCCCCAGCTGGTCATCTACTGAGCTTCCAGCTCCAGTCTTCCCCTTTGATCCATCCCTGTATGGCAGCCAAGGAGGTCTATCTGACCTGTTTAACTAGGTTACCTTCCTTACTTGCAACAATTTGTGGCTCCCTTGATCTCTCTGGATCTGCTTCCTGGAATAACTTGCTCCAGCCAAATTCTTTTTTCTTTTTTAATTTTATTGTGATTTGTGTGAAAATTTACAAAGCAAATTCATTTTCTGTACAGCAGTTCATAACATATTTTGTCTGCAATTCCCCATAGTGTATTAGTTCTCTTCCCACTTCCTTCCCGTAGTTGCCTCTTCCCTGTGTCCTTCCTTCCCATGCACTCCTGCCCCCTGAGCCGTCTCTCCCTGTGCAAATACTGCCCTTCTGTTCTCCCATGATTGATAAGTTTCCAGCCAAATTCTTAACATCATTCAAGCTTAGGCTGCAAGACACTGGGGGTGAGAGTTAGGCAATCATCTCTGGCCCTCAGATCTAATCCCTGGCCTGAGTCTCCTTAGGGCAGGGTATGTTGTTGTTTTGTGCCGTGGAGTCAGCCCCAACTCATGGCGACCCCTCTCTGGGTTTTCAAGGTGGTATTGCTACAGAGGTAGATCGCCCAGCCTTCCTTCCGAGGAGTGGCTGATGAGCAGGGCATAGAGGTAGCAAAATAGCAGAGCAATTGAGCCCACCACCTGGCTGTTGCCCTGGATGCCACTCTTCTCCCCCCAGCCCTTCATTTGTGCAGTGAGTCCTGCTCCCTGCCTCGGTTCCCTCCCCAAGAGATGTGTCAGAAGCAGGACTTTGAATGAAATGCTTAAGCACCACATTGATACAATTCCTGCCCACCCAGGAAGCTGCTCCCCAGGCCTGATGTTTCCAGTGGGATCCTAGGGTAGGAGGGGCAGTTGTCTATTCTCTTTACCAGGCTTTTTGGGTCCTGCCATTATGTTATTTAGCTCTTGACTTGGGAAAACACTAAGGACAGTTCTGTTAGCTCTGCTGTGAACAGCCCTGGTGTTTTCAGAGGGAGGACGTTTCCTCAGATTCACATGGGACAGCCACCATCTAGTTGTACCCCCTCATTGCCTCTTTTTGGGGCAATGGTTGATGGGTCTTCCTGACTTTGATGTGAAAAGATTGCAGCTGGGACACCCCCACAACCGATCTGGGTCACATTACAGATATGTAATAGGGTTATTTTTCCCCCCACACTTCCATGACTGTCCCATCATGTATTGGAACAAGTAAACGTTACAGAAATGATGGTTAGTTCACCAACTATTTACTGAGCAGAGGTGCTTATCCAAGCCCCCTGCTGGTGACCAGCTGTGAAAGAATCCTGGCTTTCATGGGGCTGAGGGAAAAGGATCCTTCCCCAGGTAGTGGACCGGAGTGGTTGGGGCCGAGGTGGGAGGAGCATAGGCCAGAGTGATGGGGCTGTGGTGGATGAAGCTCAAGATGGTGGCAGGACTGGGAGGAGGGAAGCCTAGGACCAAGAGGGGAAACAGGGTTATGGGGTCCCAGAGGAGGTGCCTGACCTGGCCTGGGGGGAAAGTGGGCTTCTTGAAGGAGAGGATATATGAGCTGAACCTGAAGGATGATGTAGTGGGGCAAAGAGGAGAAAAGCAGATGTCAAGGCCTGTGTCAAAACTTTGAGGTCAGAAAATGGGCCTAGCCTTTGCAGAGAAACAAGACCTGGATGAATTCAAAAGGGCTTGGGAGACTCACAGTCAGCAGGGGCCAGACTGCAGAAGGCTGGGCCAGGGAGTTGACCAAGGGCACTGGGGAACCATAGAGAACCACAGGGGCAGGCCAGCACAGCGCCAAAAGAGGTAGTGGGAGTGGATCAAGAGCAGCAGAGAGGTGGTAGTAACCTATGGACTGCTTTTATTTTGTTGGCAGGGGGTCGGGCAGTGGAAAGATAACAAGTGAGTAAGGAGGGTGTGAATAAGCTCTGCGGTCTCGCCATGTTTTCCCAGCCTGGGTGTATGAACCCCACTGATGGGACCATGGGGCTATACTGAGATGGAGGCAGTGGAAAGGAGCAGGTTTGGGGGATGATGCAGGGCTGCCAGTGTGGGCCCCCTTGGACATGCTGGGGAAGACTGGAGACATACGTGGGCATCACTCCAAAAACCAAACTCACTGCCTTTGAGTAAATTGGGTTCCCAAGGCTGTAAGGGAGCTCTGGTAGCATAGTGGCTAAGACACTTGCCTGCTAACCAGACGGCTGGCGGTTCAAACCCACCAGCCACTCCTCGGAAGGAAGGTTGGGCAATCCTACTTCCGTAGTGATACTGCCTCGGAAACCCAAGGAGGGGTCGCTATGAGTCGGGGCCGACTCGACGGCACATAACAACAACAACAAGGCTGTAAATGTTTACAGAGGCAGTGCAGAACAGCTGGTGGGTTCAAACCACCAACCTTTTGGTTAGCAGCCAAATGCTTAACCTGTGGCATCACTAGCACAGAGAAACAGGTGAGGAACGGGTAGGTGAAGGAGGGGAGCCCCAAGCCCCAGTCAGAGGGACTCAAATGTTGGAAGACAAGTGACTGGGCAAAGGAGAGGCAAGGGGGAGGGGAGGAAGAGGGGCATTTCCAGTAGTGGGAGAGGTTACGTTTTCAGGTAGAGGGGAGACCTGTGGCTTAGCCTCCAGGGACTGACCAGTGATAGGACAGGAGCAAAGGGGTGAACAAGTGGAATCTAGTGGAGACATCTGCGAAAGGTGGGAACGGGCTGCTTCATGTGGAAAGATGTTTGACACTTGTGTCAGGGAGACTCCCGAGGAGGGAGGAGAGGTGCTGAGAACAAGGAGAGCTCAGGTGATGGATAGGTAGTGGACCAGTTAAAGGCAACTGCCCAGGAGGCCACCCGCCACTGCATCCTTGCTCTGCCTGTAAGTGCCATAAATGGGCCGGAAAAAAAAAAAAATTAATTTCTCCAACAAATGTTTATTGAGTACCTCTATGTACCGGATAGGAGCTCTGGTAGTATAGTGGCTAAAAGCACTTGACTGCTAACCAGAAGGCTGGCGGTTCAAACCCACCAGCCACTCCTCGGAAGGAAGGTTGGGCAATCCTACTTCTGTAGTGATACTGCCTCGGAAACCCAAGGAGGGGTCGCTATGAGTCAGGGCCGACTTGACGGCACATAACAACAACATGTAGGGGATTGTGTTCTAGGCACAATTTGTTCTACAGCCCTGAACAAATTACCCCGACCACAATTGTACGATGTGGGAGACCAAATGGACTAATGGAAAACACTTAAGACAGTGCTTGGCACATCAGTGTGAGCTGGTTTTATTACTGTCACACACAACACAGATGTGTTTTCAACAAAGAGCTCCCAGGCAGCCTTCTTATCTGGCCTGGAGTCCTAAGCAGACATATTTCACCAGGAGCTGCTAGCTCCTACTCACTGAAGCTCCACCACTACCACCTTAGGTGCAGCCGCACCAGGACCAGCTGAGAAGGCTGGGCCAAGGAGGTGTTGCTCCAGAGGGGTGGTGGGCCACTTACGGATGGGGAAAAGGAATCAGTGTAGTCCGTCCAAGGTTGAGGAGCCATGGGCTGCAGAAGTGCACACAGGAGGTGCTCATAGGACTCTTGATTGCTCAGATACTTGGTGGCTGCCCATAGAGGTTCCATAAGCCCTGCCCCCACCTGGCTGTGGTGGATGCAGGGGTGCAGGTAGTGGCCCCTCTAATAATAGAGTTCCTGGTCCCACCAGCCTGAAAGAGGAGAGAGGAGACTCAGGTCAGGGTTTGGAGAACAGGAGCCGATGTAGAAGGTCAAGGTTGGGCACTTGGGGCTCAGAGGTTTCAGATCAGTTGTGGTCTGATACGAAGGTCAAAGACTTAGAGGTCGAGTGTTGAGGATCAAAAGTTGGAGCAGCTGCCTCTTACCCCCAACCTCCCAGTCCCCACACTCACTCCCTGGACAACAACGAACTCCAAGTTTCCGCAGCTCATCATAAACGAAGATGAGGAGGCCGAAGGGCATGGGGACCAGCCACCACTGGAACCTGAAGGTACAGGGTATTGGTGAGGTGAAGGCTACCCCTGAGTCTGCATCCCACAGCCCCCACCTCTCTGCCCACATCTCACAACCCCTTACCGAATGGGCATGAAGTTGAAGATGTTAGGCATTCCAGGGCAGTAACACAGGAAACAGCCAATGCACACCTGGAACACAATGGCAATCACCAGGATCCTATTCCTGCAGTAGGGCGAGATGGGCCAAGCTCAGACTGAGGGGGTCAAGACAAAGACAGGCCATCAGAAGCCAGGACCAAATGGAAATCAGGGTACCAGTTCAAAGTATATTCTTTACTACCAAAGGCAGGAGGGTGTATTAGACATTTAGCGGGAGTGGCCTGCATGGATGCCTGCTCTTCAGCATGACCCCTTTAGTTGATGAAACGTGAAAGGGCCAGTTGGGAGGCACAGGGAGGAGTTATTCACCAGGTGATAAGGAAGAATTTTGTGCCAGTGTTCCCTGGCTGCTGTCAGTCCTGTGAGGGACGGGATCAGGGTAGGAAGGCAGGGCAGGGCTGGGGCTGATGGGGACACCTGAAGAAGCCCTGCTGGAAGGCGGAAAGGCGGCGTGTCTTGCGGATGAGGACGTCGGCTATCTGGCACATTTCGATGCTGATAAAAAACACGGTGTAACAGGTGTACTGTTGGTACAGGCGCTGCCCGAATGTCTGTGGGACCAGGAAGAAACAAACACAGCCTGAGCCCAGCCGGGGAGCCTCTGCAGCCCTTGGGTTCTAGTCCTGAGCCCCTAAATGTCCAAGGCTGAACTCAGGGAGAGAAGAGATGCAGGGTCTGCCAGGTTTGCAGACCCCAGGATGAAGGGCCCAGAAAACAGTCAAGCAGAACATGGAGCACAGCCCCTGGGCCAGCGTGGAGGAGAGATTACTTCCACAATGAAAGGATGGGCCAGAATGGCCTGGGCCCTGAGGAACTGGGCAAAGGGGAGTGGAACCTTAAAGGAGGATGTGCAAAGTCCAGTGACTCTGGGGGACCAGGCACGTGGCAAAAATGAGTCAGGTGGGCCTTTGAGGAAAGAGGGCACATGACCATTTAGGGAGCAGCCACAAACAGCCCATTTTTCAACACAGCTTTGTTGCTGTTGTTAGGTGCCATTGAGTTGGCTCCGACTCATAGTGACCTTATGTACAACACAACAAGACACTGCCCGGTTGTGCACCATCCTCACAATCCTTGCTATACTTGGGCCCATCATTGCAGCACTGGGTCAATCCATCTCGTTGAAAGTCTTAACCTTTTTCGCTGACCCTCCACTTTACCAAGCATGATATCCTTTTTCCAGGGAATGGTTCCTTCTGACAACATGACCAAAGTAGGTGAGATGAAATCTGGCCATTCTCACTGCCAAAGAGCATTCCGGCTGCATTTTTTCCAGGACAAATTTGTTCACGCTTCTGGTGTCCATGGCACTTTCAGTATTCTTCACCAACACCATAATTCAAAGGTATCAACTCTTCTTCAGTCTTCCTTAGTCATAATCAACACCCATGGAAGCAGCAGTCAAGAAATCAGATGGTGTATTGCACTGGGCAAATACGCTGCAAAAGACCTCTTTAAAGTGCTGAAGAGCAAAGATGTCACTTTGAAGACTAAGGTGCGCCCAACCCAAGCCATGGTATCAACACAACTTTAGTAGCAGCTAATTGTGTAGGAGCACTTAGTATGCTTCAAGTACCAACCGTTTCACATGCATTGTCTCACTTAAGCCCCACAAAACCCCATGAAGTCAGTCAGTGATACACAAACTTTCCTGTGCATCTGAATCCCCTGAGGGACTTGTTAAAACAAACTGCCAGACGGAAGCCAGGCACCACCCCAGAGACCTGGGGGTGGGTCCTGAGCATTTGCATTGCAAACAAGTCCCCAGGTGATGCTAAAGCTGCTGTCCTGGGACTTCCCTGTACACAGTGAAAACCAGAGGTAGACACTATTCTTCCCACTCTCATAGGTGAGAAAACTGAGGCACAGAGAAGCAATTTGCTCTAGGTCATGCTTGTGAGGAACAGGGCCAGGTCATGAATCTGGGCAGTCTGGTTCCAAGGTCTGCATTCAAATCTATGTTGGAGGAAGTGCAGCTAGAATGCTCCTTAGAAGTGGGAATGGCCAGACTTTATCTCTTGTACTTTGGTCATGTTGTCAGAAGGAACTAGGCCCTGGAGAAGGATACATGCTTGGTAAAGTGAAGGGGCAGTGAAAAAGGGGAAGACCCTCAACAAGATGGACTGACACACTGGCTACAACAACGGGCTCAAGTACAGCAAGGATTGCGAGGACGGTGCAGGACCAGGCACTGTTTCGTTCTGTTGTTGCTATGAGCTGGAACCTAACAACACCGAACAGCACCTAACAACAACAATGATATATGTCACAGGGAATACCCTGTCTATAACTCTACAAGCTACACAAAATACATCTGCTAGACAGACTCTATGCTCCAAAGTTCATTAAAGACCACCACATGCAAATACTGCATGTAAGTGATGTTGCAGAAAAAGAACGGGTCTGGTTCCACATCTGAGGTGACGTGTGTCTGTCAGGGTGGAGAGAGGACCCATCTGCAGCTTCGATCATTAGAAGCAGGAGTCTGGAACTAGAGATGGTGGTAGGAAAGGTCCTTCATTCCAGAACAGGCAGGGGGCTGGCAATCAGTCTGGGTATCCAAGACCCTTTTGCTTTGTGCAGTCAAATGTGGAGGAGTGAGCACTGGCCACACATTGGGTAGGTGGCACTGGGCACAAGACAGTCATGGGATAGGATAGGGCAAGGGCTCACCCACTCCTGGCCATAGCTGTCCTGCAGATCTTGTAGGTGGTGGTTCTCCCACTGTGGCCGTAGCCCCACACACAGCAGTGGAAACCATCCCTCCTGGGCCATGGCTGTGAAGTAGTCAGTGAAGCCAGCAAATGACTGGATGGCACCTGGGAGAGAGACAAGTGACACAGGGAGGGTAGAGACACAGACAGAGATGGGGACACAAGGTCAAGAACACAGGGTGAGAGGGACATGGAAAGACAGGGATACAGAGAGATAGATACATAGAAAATCAGGAACACATGAAGAGAGACAGGGACAGAGACCAGGACAGAGAAAGACAAGGATGCAGTCATTAACACAGAGAAGCTGACAGAAACACAAGTAGACAGTGACACAGAAAGACAGAGACAAGGACACAGAGATGGAAAGAAAGACACACAGAGAAAGAGAGGGAGAAAGATCCCAAGAAAGATCAATAGAGACACAGAGAGTCACAGAGAGAGACACTCAGAGACAACGTGGGAGAGAAACTGACCCAGAGAACCAAAAAGAGAAAGAAGCAATGGCCAAGAGACAGGGTCACAGAGGCCACACAGAGCAAGGGAACTGAAGAGATCATCATGGGTAGACAGGGTCAAAAGCAGACACTAAGATCCAGAATAAGCCAGAGCCCAAATGGGAGACCCCAAGGCCAATGAGTGGCCCCATTAAAGAGCCCCCCATTCTTCCTGGTCCTGTGGACACTCACCAATCTGAAAGTAGGAGTAGGCAGCCAGGGGTTCATTGACCAATCTGTCACGCTTTGGGTTCCGTGGCCGCAGGTGCATGATGTCACTCTCCGCCTTCTCGTAGGCCAGAGACACAGATGGGAACTGGCCAAAGGAGGGAAGGAGTCTTGCTGAAGGTCTGACTAGGCTCCTGTCCCCTGTGCTCTGGAGCTCCCCAGTGGGCAGGGATGGGACTGTGGTTGGTTATAGGGCAGGACCTGCAGTGACCACAGAGTCACACTCGCCTGGATGGCCTGGGCCTGGGCCTGGGCTGCCCCTGTCAGGAGTGCTGGCATGTCCAGTCCCACATCTGTCCTGGTGTCCATCTCCATCAATGTCTTTTGTTTTTATCTTCTCTGTCTCTGTCATTCTGTGTTTGCCTCTGGGGTACCCTGGTCTCAGCCTCTCTGTTTCCCTGTTTCTCTTTATGTCCTTACTCTTTTTGTTTCTTTGTCCCTAGCTCTGATCTTTCTCTGTGACTCTGTGTGTCTGTGTCCCTGTCTTTGCCATTCCCTGTTTCTCTGCCTTTTGTCTCTTCAGGTCCCTGTATCTCCCACCCCACTCACCCTCTTGTCCGAATGTAACTACAAAATGGCAGCAGAGCATGTTCTCAACTACGGGCCTTTGCATTGCCTGTCCCCTCTGCCACAAACACTCTTCCTCCAGATTTTCACATGGCCAACTCCCTCATCTCTTTGAGGTCTTTGTTCAGGTGTCACCTTCTCAATGAGGCCTTTCCTAAACCAACCAAACCAAATCAAATCCATGACTAGATTAGACTCATAAACCAAACCAAATTCACTGCTGTTGAGTCGGATCCGACTCATAGTGACCCCTCCTTGGGTTTCCGAGGCAGTATTACTACGGAAGTAGATTGCCCAGTCTTCCTTCCAAGGAGTGGCTGGTGGGTTTGAACAACCAGCCTTCTGGTTAGCGGTCAGATACCTTAGGCACTATGCCACCAGAGCTCCTGTTTAAGGAGTGATAGGAGTCATAGTGACCTTAAAATTGAACCACCACTTCCTTCAAGTGTACTTATCAAGGGCACAGGCTCTGGGGCCCTTGGCTGCTGGGGTCAAATCCTAGCTTTACCACTGGTTCAACCTGCTTATGCTTCAACTTACTCATTTGTAAAAAGAGTTTGACAATAATTAAGCCCATCTCATAGGGTGGCTGAGGGCAAAACTAAGTAAACGAGTATGTATGCCTGGCCCATAGTAGTAAGTGCCATGTAAGTGTTGTTGATACTGTCCACATGGCCAAGCATCCAGCCATGGCTACATCTATGGCCCTTTCTCATCTACCTTGGAGTCTGTCTGAATGTGTTTATCTGTCCATGTCTGTTTAGGGATATCTGGCTGTGATCCAAGTTTGGCTAGCTATCTGTGTCACTTAATACTCTGAATTTCTGTGTGTCCATGGGTTTGTCCATGCCCACCTCCCTGGCCACCTGTATTCCATGTCTGGCTGTCCATCAATGTATCCATATGCCTTCTCTGGGTTGTTCTGTGTCTAAGAGTGTCCATGGCAGTCTCTGTCCATCATGTCTGACCATGAGCATATATCGGTGGGCACTGTATGGGTGGGGACATCAGGGCTGTAGACTCACTATATCAGTGCAGAGTTCTATGAAGAGGATGGTGATGCACCCAAGGGGTAGGGGCACACTGACTGTGATGTAAATGAGGTATGGCGTCAGCTCAGGGATGTTCTTGGTCAGTGTATAGGCAATGGACTTCTTCAGGTTGTCAAAGATCAGCCGCCCTGTGGAGATAGAGCAGGTACCTCAGCCTCCTCTCCACCTGCTTCCTCTTGGGCCCACATTGCCCAGACCACCCCTGGCTCAGCCCGAACCCTGCTCCACGCCCGTCACAATGGAGGCGAAGTTGTCATCCAGGAGGATCATGTCGGCTGCATTTTTGGCAGCATCTGAGCCAGCAATGCCCATGGCCACACCAATGTCTGCCTTCTTCAGGGCTGGGGAGTCATTCACACCATCCCCTGTCACAGCCACGATTGCACCCTGCAGGGAGTGGGTGCAGGCAGGTAGGTGATCATCGAGAGGCCAGCCCAGGGTATCCCTCTGCACCCCTCATCATCAGATTCGCACCAGTCGTTGGCAGCTCTCCACAATCACCAGCTTCTGCTGGGGACTGGTGCGGGCGAACACCATCTCAGGGTGGGTGCGAAGTGCCTCAACCAGCTCTGATGGGTCCATGTCCTTCAGCTGCATGCCATTGATGACACACGCGCGGGCATCCCTGAGGAAGGAGAAGGGGGACTTGCTGGGGCCTCAGGCTTCGTGGGGTGTGGCAAGAACCCTGAGGAGGACTGAGGAGGGCTTACTTCCGATTAACCTGGTCCACGGGCACTCGGAGGCGGGCAGCGATGTCCTCCACTGTCTCACTGCCCTCTGAGATGATGCCCACACTGGCTGCGATGGCCTTGGCTGTGATGGGGTGGTCACCTGTCACCATGATCACCTGGAGGTGTAACCAGGAGACTCTTGACCCTTTCAGCTCATCCCAATTTTCCCATCCTCACTTGTAGACATCTGCTGATAGACTCATTCATTTATTCAACCAATCATGACCACCTATGAAGTGCCAGGGAAGTAACAGGGACAAAACAGATCAAAGTCCAAGTATAGCTAATGTTCTAGTGAAGAAGAAAGAAAATAAACATAATAAATAAATTACACCTAGTACTCACTTACTGACTATATTATCTGAATGTTTTGCATTTATGACAACAAAAAAAAGTCTACTATCCAACTATTTTGTGCATTAATCATGTACTTCTGACAGTAACAAACCCCAGCATGTGAGGCAAGATGGTTGTGATGGTTAACATTATGCCTACTTGGTTGGGCCACGATTCTTAGTGGTTTAGCAGTTATGTAATGATGTAATTTGAAAGTTACGTGATGATGTTATAATCCTCCATTTTGCGATCTGATGTGGTCACACTCCGTTTTCACATAATGCTGATTTTCATATAATAGCTTGGTCTTTGTAACCTAGCCATGGTGATACGTGTATATGGTATGTTGTTACTTTTGTTGTTTTGATCACCACTGTCAAGGTGGTCCCTGATTCATGGTGACTCTATGCACAATGGTCTTGTGCCATCCCCATGATTGGCTGCAGAGTGAACTGTTGTGATACATGAGGTTTTCAAAATGATTTTTGGAAGTAGATCACCACGCCTTTCTCCCTAATCTGTCTTAGTCTGGAAGCTGCACAGAAATCTGTTCACGATCATAAAAACATGCAAGCCCCACTGACAGATGAATGGTAGCTGCCTGTGAGGGACAATGGCCAGAAATTGACCCCATGTCTCCTACATGGAAGGTGAGAATGCTACCACTGAAATACCAATGTCCCCACAGAATATTTTAGAAGGTGATGAATGCTAAGAAAAATAATAAAGCTGGGAAAAGGGGATGGCAAGTGCTGGGTGAAGGAAGTGGTGACTCAATTTCAAGGTCACATGAGTCAATCATTTCAATGGCAATGGGTTTGGTTTCATTTCGTTTAGGGAAGGCCTCATTGTGAAGGTGGCACTTGAACAAAGACGTGAAGAGATGAGGGAGTTGGCCATGTAAAAATCTGGGAGAAGAGCGTTTGTGGCCGAGGGAATGGCAATGCAAAGTTCCTCAGTTGAGAGTATGCCTGAACTGTTGGAGGAACAGCATGGAGGCACGCTCAGAGAGAAGCGGGAAAGAGGCAGAAGGGCTAAGGAATGACTTAAGAAGGTAATAGGCCCCAGACCTTACAGGACTTTATAGATCACGAGAAAACCTTGGGCACTGCTTGATTAGCATCTGTTCTCCCACCCTCAGTTTGTCTTTGGAGAACCATTTCTCCTCCTACCCCCAGGCAACTGGTTGAAGTGAGGTCCCTGGCCAAGATTGGGGAAGTGAGCCCAGACCGGCCAATCAAGGTATTCCATCCCCCAAGCCACAGTGATTGGTTCAGGGACTCAATATGGAGCTATTACAAAAGAGGCACTCTTTCTGTGGGCTAGCTAACCAGATGGGATGTCAATTGGAGCCGCTGAGGGGACAACCTTTGCCCCCTAAGATAATTGCTTGAGAATAAACCTTGAGGAGAGAAAAGCAGAGCTGAGACATGAAGGAAGGCAAATTCCTAATGAAATGACCCTGAGTCCCTGGATCCAGCTATGCCTGAAGCTTCATTCTCCAGAGTCTTTCAGTTTCATGAACCAATATATTCCCTTTTTTGTTCAAGTCAGTTCCTGTTTAGGGATAGGGTTTCCTATCCCTAAACACTCCATCCACACCATCACCTGGACCTCCCTTCAAGTGGCCTACCCGGATGCCTGCTGTACGACACTTGAGCACGGCGTCTGGAACAGTGGCTCGGGGTGGGTCTATCATGGATACCAGTCCCGCAAAGCACAGGTTGCTAGTTGGAAAGTTCATGGCCTCCACGTCAAAGGCATAGCCAGGTGGGTAGTCCTTCTCACTCAGGTAGAGCTGGCAGAAGCCTAGCCAGGAAACAGGAAGTTAGAGAGGAGCCCTGGGAGGAGCTTTTCCCTGACAGGGCCAAGAGATGAGAGAAACGACAAACCCTTCATTCATATTACCTAACTCCATCCTCTTGCCAAAGGTCACACAAGTAAAGATCCAAAATTAGACCACAGGCCTGTGCCTTCCAGTGTCAGGCAGGTTTAAGTTTAACCAAGGCAGAGGTTAGGGAAATTTAAGGGTTAGGACAAAAATTGGGGGAGGTCAGGGGTCAAGACCAGGATAGGGAAAGTCAAGTTGAGGAAGGTCAAAGAGTCAAGATGAGGAGTCTGAAAGGTGTCAGTTGAGGCAAGGGCTGGAAAAAAACATAGGATCACAAGTTAAGTCAGGATGGGGAAAGTCAAGGTAAGGACAGGTGGGGAGGATCAGGGTTCAGAGGAGGAACCGAGGGCGGTCAGGGGTCAGAAGGAAACTTTAAAATCAAGGGTGAGTGTGTAGAAGGGCGCAGGGCAGGGTCCAGGAAGGTCCACTGGCCTCTTTATGCTCTGGATCCTCCCTATCTCGCGTGGGGGGTCTCACCAAGCACTCGTTCACCCAGCCCTCCCAGGCTGAGGTAGGCCGTCTGGAAGGCCTCGCGCCACTGCTCGTCCAGCGGCAACTCCTGGCCCTTGATGAGGATCGAGCTACAGCGCTCCAGCACGCGCTCTGGGGCGCCTTTCATCACAAGCACGTGCCGTGGGTCCCGTGGATCCTCCAGTGTGTGGATAGACAGCTGAGGGCAGAGAGGGGGCGGGACTGTAGGCGAGGCTACCGAGCATGGAGGAGGGGTGCGCTGAGTGCAGGGGCGTGGGTTTCCACCAGATCCTTTGGGTGGGCTGGTTAGGGGCTTGGCTGAAGGCACCGCCTTGTTTGGCAGTGGGCAGGACGAGGATGAGGGTGGGGTTTGGCCAGGGAAAGGTGGGGAATAAGGGCCAAGACTCGTCAAGGGCAAGACCAGAAAGCGGCTGGGTCCTGGGCCCTCCAGTGGTGGGACTATGCGGTTGGCAGCGGGCTCGAGGAGTGGGCGGGGCTGCCCGCGGAGGCTGCGCACCTGAAACTTGTTGGTGGAGTTGAAGGGGATCTCGCAGACTTTGGGGAAGCGCTCGCGGTAGCCCATGGCGTTGCCCAGCGTCAGCTCAGAGAACTTGAGTAGCGCGGTCTCGGACGCGTCACCGATCACGATGCGCTGGGAGCGGGGGCCAGTGTTAGGGACGAAGGCGGCGGCCCCAGGTTCCCGGGGGCGCCCCGGACGTCCCCAGCTCTCACCTTGGGCACCGGCACCGCGTCCTGGCCGGACCTGAAGGCAGCTCTGTTGCACAGGGTGAGCACGCGGCACAGGGCCCGCCATGTCTCCGAAGACTGGTCAAATGTCTGTCCTAGAGGCCGGACGTGGGGGCTGGAACCCGGAAGGATCCCACACAGGCCCCAGACCCGCCGCAGCGGCCGCTCCCTCAAACCCAGACTGAGCCCCTCCGCCTAGGTCTAGGCCAGCGGCTCCTCCTCAGACCTAAGATCCAACCCCCTCCTCAGTGAACCTTCTCTCTAGACCCAATATGGAGTGTACTGGGAGACCTATCGGAAGGAAGACTGGGCAATCTATTTCTGTAAAGATTTACTGCCTTGGAAACCCACATGGAGTCGCTCTGAGTCAGAATCCACTCGATGGCGGTGAATTTGGTTTGGTTTGGTTTGTGAGGCCCTTACTGAGCTCCGTCTCAGACCCGAATCCTCTCTCTGGGCCCAGAACCCAGCTTCTCCCAGAGCTGGGATGGAATCCCTTCCCTTTTATATTGACACCCTCGCCCCTGTCAGTAACCTCAGAGCTCCCTTCTAGATCCCCTCCATCTATCGGAGCCCGAGCTTAGAGCCTGCCTGCCCCGCCTCCTGTCCCCGCAGACCCCCACACCTGACTGGTCTTCTGTGGTATCTGCTGAGTGGATGTGGTTGTCAAACCACAGATGGGACACAGTCATGCGGTTCTGAGTGAGGGTTCCTGTCTTGTCAGAGCAGATTACTGATGTAGAGCCCAGAGTTTCCACTGCCTCCAGGTTCTTGACCACACAGTTCTTGCTGGCAAGCCGCTTGGCTGTCAGAGACAGGCAGACCTGAGGGGAGAAACCAAGTGCTCGGCCCAGTCTTTGCTTCCAATCCCACTTCTTCCTCTTCCCTGGCATTCAGGGGTCCTTTGTCCCAGCCACAGTTCTGCATACGCAGCATTGGTCTGAAAAAGCCAGGCTGTGTCTTGCCTCCAAGCCTTTGCTTTCCACCTGGGAGCCTTCCTCAGTCTGCCCAAACATAGCCAGGCCTCTCTCTGAGCTGCTCTAACGGATGTTTTGTAAGTTTTCTTATCAACAGAATATAAAAATGAGAAAACATTCCTCTGGGCCTGTCTCGGGCTGGGGAGCTGACAGTTGAAGGCCATTTACATGCTGGCTGCACACACTGGCCTCCGCCTCAGCTGGTCAGGATGTCAACATCTCTGAGTCCTCAGTGCCTATAGCACAGAGCGTGGCCAAGAGTAGCCTTGGTAAATGTTTGCTGACTGGATGGGTAAATGGAAAGAGGTTCCGGGTGGAGCCTGGAGGAATGGCTAGACAGATGGACAGCCCTTTCAACTCCCTGCACCCCTCTTCTGGCTCCCCAACTCACCGTGACAGTGGCCAACAGTCCCTCAGGCACATATGCCACCACAATAGCCATGAAGAAGACCATGGCCCGCAGGAAGGTGTAGCCAATGCACATGGCCACCACAAAAAATGTTGCACCAAAGAGGATGGCCAGGCCTGCGATGATGTCCACAAAGTGTTCGATCTCAATAGCAATGGGTGTCTTTTCGTTTTCCACTCCTGATGCCAGAGATGCAATGCGCCCAATTATGGTGCGGTCCCCTGTGCTCACCACCAGGCCCTGAGCTGTACCTGCGGTGGGTCCAAGAGGGTGACTTAGAGCAGGGCGAGCAGCAATGGAGCTGTGCACCGCAATGTGAACTGAAGCAAGGGGCAGTCATGGAGGGCAGTAGAGGGCAGTGTGACCTGGGAGGAGGGTAGTAATAATGGGAAACAGACGTGTGGCCTGCACAGGTGGCAGGAACATAGCGTAGGTAAGCAGTTTGTGTCAGAACGTAGCAGTAGAGGAGCCATCGCAGGCAGTGTGATTGGCTTAGTAGTAATGGGAAGCGTGGAGGCTGTGTGGTCAGATGGGCAGGCAGCCAGGGGCCTCACAGACCCTCAAGACACATGGTGGAGAAGAAGGCGATGTTGCGGGTCTCCAGAGGGCTGTCGTGTGTACATTCAGGCGAGCGGGTCTGCGGCTCAGACTCTCCAGTCAGCGAGGAGTTGTCCACCTTGCAGCCCTGGGCTGCCAGGATGCGGATATCGGCTGGCACTCGATCCCCACCTTTCATTTCTACCAGGTCGCCTACCACCAGCTGGTCTGCGTTGATCTGGAACTTGTCCCCATCTCGGATCACAGTTGCTTGCTGTGGGGCAGGAGCACCAGAGGTGAAGGGATGGAAGTGGAGGTTGCTAGATATGAGGATGTGGAAAGGTGGAAAGAAATGGGGAAAGGTGGGATCATGGGAAGAGCTGAGAGTCAGTGGGGAGAGATGGGGTCCATGGATGAAGGGCAGGTTGGTTCTGATGGGAAATAGGAGCCCCCAGAGAGATGCCAGGCGGCCTGCCTGGGATGTTTGGGACCCACCTGGGGTACAAGGTTCTTGAAGCTGGCGATAATGTTGGTGCTCTTAAACTCCTGATAGTAGCCAAAGCAGCCAGTGACCACTACCACAGCGATGAGAGCCAGTGCCAAGTATAGCTGGGAGAAGAAGAGGCGGCTGGGCTTTATGCCTAGGACTTGGCGGTGCCTGCACATGGCCACCCTCCTGCTCCTTGGTCCCTTGGCATCCGCTGGGTCACCCCAGGCTTTTCCCCAGACACTCTGGAAGCTTCATGTGCTTTTCCCTGTGTCCTATGTCCTCTCTCCCCATGCCCTTCATATCCCACCATCAACCACCCTGTATTCTTAGTGTCTTGTGTCCTCGTGTCCCCATATCTCATATCCTCTGGCCCTTGAATCCTAAATGTCCCATGTTCCATGTGCCCATGTCCTGTGACTCATGCCCCATGTCACCATGTATGTTGGTTTTATGTGTTCCCTTTTCCTCTGTCCCCCATGTCTTTCATTCCCATTTCCATTGGCTTATATCCCCATGTCCTGCATTCCTGTGCCCCAAGTTTCATATTCTGTGTTTTCCATAACCTTGTGCCATTCTCTCCTCCCTATGCCCAATAGTTTCTTTGTCCTCACGTCTCCGTTTCCGTGTGTTTGTGCTGCAGATCTCATGCTCTATGTTCTGTGTCCTTCATGACCAGTGTCCTCATGTCCCCAACCCCAGTCCCTGTGAACAATATCTTCCTCTGTCTCCATCCTATGTTCTGTGTCCTATGGACTTTTCAGGCCCATGTCCATTGTCAGAAGATGTCCCTAGTTCTCCAAGTCACCTGTTCTGATCCCTGTCATATATCTAAGGACTCCTTGTCCTGCATTTTTATGTCTTCATTTCTTGTATTTCCCCATTTCCTAGGTCCTAAGGCTCATATCCCTTGTGCCCCCCATGTCCTCATGTCCTATATCCCCACATCTGAGTCCATTTTCCCTGTATCCCCATCCTTGGTTAATTCCATGTCCTATGTCTATGTCTTGAGTATTGCAACTCCATGTTTTGTGCCCCTATCCTATCCCTCATATCTGAGACTCATTCTCAGTGATCCCTGTGAGCCTTGTGACCTGTGTGTCCTCAGTTCTATCCCATACACCAATGTCCTTGTACCCCCATGACCCATGTCTTGGCATTGCACCTCCATGTATTTATATCCTTATCCTATGTCCCCATTGTACTGAGTCCCATGCTTAATGTCCTCTTGTGTCTCAGACCCCTGTGACTGATATGTGCCTCGTAGAACCTGCCACTCACATTGTCGTCAGTGGTTAGGTCACCCTCACTGGCCTGGATGCTGAAGGCAATGAGGCAGATGGCAGCAGCCACCCACATGAGACACTGCAGACCTCCTGCCAGTTGTCGTGCAAACTTCACGTACTCAGGGGTTCCCCGAGGTGGCCTTAGTGCGTTGGGCCCGTCTCGCAGCAGCAGTTCAGCTGCCAGGCTTGCCGACAGGCCCTGAGGACAGAGGGACAGGGATTATGGTGGGTGCTAGAAAGGCTTTCCTCTCACCAAAGACCCCTCATGCTGTGGGGTGGGGTCACCCCTCTGGCTCTTTCCCTCTGTGCCTCTCCCCCATCTCTGTCTCTCTCCCTTCATCTCTCTATCTCTGTTCCTCTCCCTTCCTCCCTCCCCCCTTTGTCTGTCTCTCCTTTCCTGTTATCTCTGCCTCGGTGTCTCTCTCTCTCTCTTCATTGCCTCTCTCTATCTCTGCCTCGCTGTGTCTCTATCTCTTTCCATCTGCCTCTCTTACTCTGTCTCTCTCTGTTTTTGACCTTTTCTAATGCCTTTTCTCCACCATCCCTCTCCGTGTCTCTCTATATACTTCTCTCTCTCTCCAGTCTCTTTCTTACATAAACACCTCTCCATGTGTCTGTGTGGATCACTCTCTCCTCTCCTTCCCTTCCCCTTGGCCTACCCCAGCTCACCTTGATTGCACTGGTCTGGTACTTCTGTTCCAGTTCTGCCACTGACAGCTGGTGGTCGTTCTGTGTGGCCGATGGCAGAAACTCGTTCTCTGGTTCTCACCAGCCCCCTGGGCCCCCGCCCTTGCCCAGGCTCCAATCAGCCCCATGCCCCAGCGCCATGCTCACAATCTCCATCTCCTTCTTCATGTTCTCTAGCTTCTCCTTCTTCTTCCCTCCACCACCGCCCGCCTTCTTCTTGCTCATCTTGGCTGCCATGTCCCCACGAGGGCCCGGACCCAGCTCCACTGAGTACAGCTCATAGTTCTCCTGAGAGTGGGGAGGGGAAGGTGGCAGAGGAGACATCAGACCCCAAGAGAGTGCCTGCCCCCGACCACCAACCTCTGGACCCTGGACCCCACTTACTGCCTTCCCCATGGTGCCTGCTTTGGTTGTCCTCCTTTGCCTAGACAGAGTCTGGGGTCTGGAGCAGCCCTGATATATCCAGGGAGGGAGGGGGTGGAGCAGAACCAGCCTGATTACAGTTGATTACACGGCTCCTTAGGATGACCTTCAGGTCTACATCGTTTAAAAGTTCCCTACTGGACTGCCCCAACCTGCCCAAACCCCACGGAGCTCCGTTCATCTTCTGCTCAAGCAGTGAATCACTAAGTATATTCACAACAAGAATAACAAACATGCCCACCGAGCTGAGGGCTCTCATGTATTAACTTATTTAGCCTCACAGAACCCGTGAGGTGGGAACTATTCTTATCTCCCCTTTACAGATGGGGAAACTGAGGTGTAGAAGGGTTAAATCACTTGCCTGTGGTCCTCAAGCTAGGACGTAATAGAGTTGGGACTCAGAGCAGGCAGGTGAGCTGCAGGAGTGTCTGCTCTTAAGCCGTGTAGCCTGTGCAGGACTGGAGGAGGAAGATGTTCACAACAGTCCCTGTAATGGCTGCTGTTTGCTAGGTATTTACTATGTGCTAGACTGTGTTCTGTGTGCTTTAATCATTTCAGTAACTCCTCACAACAGCTCTGCAAAGTTATGTTATCTTATTAGTCCCTTTGTACAGTTGAGAAAACAAAGGCACAGAAAGGTTTAGGACTTTGCCTAAGGTCACACGGCTAAGTATCAGGGAGAGGATAGGTGCCTATGTTCGACCCCAGAGCCTAGCTCTTACAAGGTACCACTCATGAAAAGTCCAGATTTCACAGTAGCACCAAGTATATTCCAGGTTCAGCACATGTGTCCTTATGAGTCCTTGCACTCAACTCCTGTGAGGGCTGCAGTATAATTCCCATTGGGTAGAAGGTGAAACTGATGCTCAGAGAGGTTCAAGGAGGGTCTCAGAGATATCCAGCTATAACCAGCATAGCTTTCAGTCACCCTGACCTGCCCAGACAGATAAACTGAGGTACAGAGCAGGAGAAGGGATGTGTCCAAGGGCCCTGGCTTGAGCTTGGTGCTGGGTTTGCAGTCTGGGGACCCTCTCCATGTCCCCTAGGCAGGGACCTTTGTGGGCAGCAGTGAGGGGCCAGCCTGGCAGAATATCAGGGTCCTTTGACCTCATTGGGTGGGTGTGTCTACTGGGGTGATTGTGGGTGTATCTGATAAGATAATTGCCTTGGTGATGTCCTTCTCCTCTGAGGCAGGTCATCTGGGAATGTCAAAGCTGTTGAGCAGTCCAGGCTCCTGCAGGTTGGCCATCCCCACCTGCTGCAGGAAACCCCACGAGAGGAGGCCGCTCTCGCAGTGAGTCCACTTCCTCTGTCCTTCATTCCGCTGAGCTACGTGTATAAAAAAGCAGTGTCCGTGTCTGCTTCCCTTCCCGCTCAGGATGAGCTCCATAGTCATTCCTGGAGTCTCTAGGAACCTACAAGATCTGGCATCAGAGCACCTCTCTCTTGCACAGTTCTGTGGGCCCTGGTCTTACTACAGTCTGTACAGGCCAAGGCCATTCCTGCTTCAGGGCCTTTGCACTTGCAGTCCCTTCTGTTTGGTACTCACTTCCTTAGATGTGTACATGGCTCTTTCTTAACCTCCTTCAGGTCTCTTTCAAATGTCACCTCTTCAAAGAGGTTGCCCTGCAATACTGTACCCCCACCACACTCCATCTCCTTACCCTGCTTTATTCACACCTCTTACTGGTTTTTATCCCAACTTCAGGAGCTCTGGTGACACAGTGCCTAGGCATTTGACTGCTAACCAGAAGGTTGGTGGTTCAAACCCATCAGCTGCTCCGTGGAAGGAAGATGAGGCAATCTGTGAAGATTTACTGCTTTGCAAACCCAGTGGGGGTTGCTGTGAGTCAGATTAACTCTATGGCAGTGGCATTGGTAGTGGGTTTATCCCAACTTAGGAGCTCTGGTGAACAGTGGTTAAGTGCTTGGCTACTAAATAAAAGGTCGGTGGTTTGAACCGGGTTCAAACCCAGCCACACAGCAGGAGGAATATGTGGCAGCCTGCTTCCCTCAAGATTACAGCCTTGGAAACTGAATGGGGAGTTCTACTCTTCCTGTTCATTGCCATGAGTTGGAATCAACTATCTATTCTTTTTTTTTTTTTTTTTGGGGGGT